CACGTCAGGCAACCAATTGTTGAGCTGGCGGCGGTACGCATTCAATGCGGACAGCACCACTCCGTGGGCACATCTGCGCGAGGTCTACAAGCTGACATCGCCACCCATCTGAGTCATTGCGTTCTTCGTCGCCAAACGCGGAGGTGGCAAGGCGTCCATGGCAATGTTGGCGGCATGTCTGCCATGCGCAGGTACAGCGGTTGCTGCCGCCAAACGGAATTACAAGCGAGACTGCGTGGAAGCGCGTGCACACGAAACGGTTTGAGCCAAAGTGTTTAAAAATTATGGATAACATGCGGGCTCGCTTGCCGCGTTTTGCGAGCACGAAACGGATAGCGCTCCCACCCCCAGCTCAGCCCCCCGGGGTGTCGAGGATGTGCCACGCCTGCCACGCTTTGCGAGCCCGAAACGGATAGCGCTCCCACCCCCAGCTCACCCCCCGTGGTGTCGAGGAAGTGCCAAGCCTGCCACGCTGACCGAGCCAGTAACGGACAGCGCCCCGATCCCCAGCGCGCCCCCTGCGATGACGAGGATGTGCCACGCCTGCCAAGCCTGGCGAGCCCTAAACGAACAGCGTTCCCACCCCCAGCTCACCCCCTGTGGTGTCGAGGACGTGCCACGCCTGCCACGCTTTGCGAGCCCGAAACGGATAGCGCTCCCACCCCCAGCGCATCCCCTGTGGTGTCGAGGAAGTGCCACGTCTGCCACGCTGTGCGAGCCCGAAGCGGATAGCGTTCCCACCCCCAGCTCACCCCCTGTGGTGTCGAGGAAGTGCCACGCCTGCCACGCTTGGCGAGCCCGAAACGGATAGCGTTCCCACCCCCAGCTCACCCCCTGTGGGTTCGAGGATGTGCCGCGCCTGCCACGCCTTGCGAGCCCGAAACGAATAGCGCTCCCACACGTCTTGGGTGTATGATGCAGTGAAAACGCCAGGCGTGCACTAGCGTTGTATGGTGTATGTTGTGTGTGTGCGAGAGTGTGTGCATGCGTGCGGCTGCATGTACACGCGTATCTGATGCACGTGCCATGCATGGGTTGCGTGCGGGTGAAGGGAGGGAGTGGAGGAGGAGAGGAAGGAGGAGGGAGGGTAGGTGAGTGAGGAGGAGACGCGGGGGCGACGCGGCAGGGATGAAAATCAGAACCCCACGAAGCATGTGAGGAACAAGAAATCGCCGGCATTATTTCGGGATCCTTGAGGCAACCAACGCATTCCAGGGAGCTGAAACCATGTGCGAGCTAGCGCGTCTTGGAATCCCTAAGGATTCCAAAAGATCCTAAGAATCTGATGACCCTTTAGGGACCCATAGGAATCCATAGGAACCCCTAGGGAAGGGACGAATCCTCAGGAAATCCCTCAGAAATCTATAAGAATCCCTAGGAATCCCTAGGGATCCCTAGGGAATCCTAGGACTCCATAAGAATCCCTAGGGAATCCTAAAAATCGTAGGAATCCTAAGAATCCTAAGGAATCCACCAGAACCCCAAGGGAATCATAGGAATACTAAGAACCCCAGGGAATCCAGAGGAATCCCTAGGGAATCCGAGGAATCGTATGAATCCTAAAAAATCCCAGGAATCCGATGGAATCCGATGAATCCTACGAATCCTAGAGAATCCTACAAAATCCTAGGAATCCGAGGGAATCGAAAGAATCCTAAGGAATCCTGAAGAATCCTAAGAATCCTAGGAATCCCTACGGAATCCCTGGAGATCCCTAGGAATACATAAGCAACCACCCGATGGAATCCTAAGAATCGCTAGTGAACCACAGGAATCCTGAAGGAATCCTCAGGATCCTTCGGGAATTCTAAGAATCCCTACGGACTCCTAGGAATCCCTAGGGAATCCTTAGGGCATCCTACGAATCCGTCAGGAATCCTACGAATCCTCAGGGAATCCGATGAATTCTAAGGGAATCCTATGAGTCCTCAGGGAGTCATAAAGAATTCCCAAGAAATACCTATGGATTTGTATGATGATCTGGAACCCTGAGGACTCCCTGGAGAAACATTGGTGATACTCAGGAACACCGACCTAGTAGTGGTAGTAGTGGTAAGAGTAGTGGTAAGAGTAGTGGTAAGAGTAGTGGTAAGAGTAGTGGTAACAGTAGTGGTAACAGTAGTGGTAACAGTAGTGGTAACAGTAGTGGTAATAGTAGTGGTACCAGTAGTGGTAACAGTAGTGGTAACAGTAGTGGTAACAGTAGTGATAACAGCAGTTAGTAGTAGTAGTAGTAGTAGTAGTAGTAGTAGTAGTAGTAGTAGTAGTAGTAGTAGTAGTAGTAGTAGTAGTAGTAGTAGTAGTAGTAGTAGTAGTAGTAGTAGTAGTAGTAGCAGCAGTAGTAGTAGTAGTAGTAGTAGTAGTAGTAGTAGTAGTAGTAGTAAGTAGTAGTAGTAGTAGTAGTAGTAGCAACAGCAAGTAGTAGTAGTAGTAGTGTAGTAGTAGTGGTAGTAGTAGTAGTAGTAAGTAGTAGTAGTCGTCGTAAGTAGCAGTAGTAGCA